AATACCTCAATCTCCTGGAAACAGAAAATTCTTCAACTATAGAGAATGAGAATACATTTTGAAAAGGAGCTTATGCAGTCAATAATTGCGAATAACTATTTCAGATATTTACACCAAAATTTTAGGAATTGATTCCTACATTCTATCTCCAGCTTCTTAAATTACTGCATAGAGGTTCTGCATTACAAGCAGTTGGAGACAACACTCAAATGATTTAGACTTTACCATGCAACCAGGAGCAACTCGAAAGATAAAAGTGTCTTTTACCCAGGATTGTATCATAGAATGAAAATATACGTGGGAAACCAAGAGCTATTGGTTATCTTTTCTCAAACAGCTCTAGACAAAGGAGCAGTTTTGTCTCTGCACCTCTGAAGGACTAAGAGTGTCAATAAAATGAGCCCTTAGGAAAACTAATTTCTTTCCTGGAATGAAATTGTCTCAGTTGGTCTCTACACAGTTTCCCATCCCTGGTGATTTTTACATCTGTCTTCATTACTTCTGACACAAGAAATCCTGATCTGAATAAAGAAAATACATGACATCACTTGCCATCAGCAGCCATATGACATGAAATCACATGTCTCATTTTTAAGACACTTATGAATGTCAAAATTGAAAATAAGAAGAAATACACCATGTCCTTGGAGGCTTCATGTTAAGAGCATTTGGAGAAAATTAAATTTCTGACCACCTTAATTTTTTGCAACATACCACAGGAGAAAAAGAGTCAAATATAATACAGTTCCACTGATTCCTTTCAGGACACAATGCTGCATCTTCACTATCACTCAGTACTTTGAAACAATATCACATTTACCTAACACTTTCTGCAATGATTTTGGCATTCTTTTTAGAATAGAGATGGACATTTCAAAGGTATTTCACAGGTCACATCACCTCTCAAGGATTCACTCTCTTGCAGCCTTACTGGTGGACTTACATTATAAAAACTTATTGCAGAGAAGGTTTTGGATTATGGATATTCTTTTTGAGCATGTGCATTAAGATGTATAACAGCTTCATCAAGTAGAGATCATCCAGAATTTTCCCCTGCTTTCTTCAGTCAGGGATACCTGTGGGCTGACCAGAGAAGACTGATGCAAAGGAGGGCATTCAGTATCTCAGCCTTCTCAGCAACTTCTATTGCAAGTGTCCGTGCTCTTTTCAGTAGAATACCCAGACACCAGGTATTAAATACTTCTGTTAATTCAGTGTACAAAGATATGTGAAAATACATATTAAATAATATTTAGGCCTCAACTGAAAATAATCTGAAGAGATCCTAGATAAGTCCCCAAAATATATCTTTGTTTATGAGATTACATTTCACCTTTGAGCGGTAACAGTTACACTGCACTGAATATTAGATTGATTCTTCCAAACTTTCCCCATCTTTTCAAAAATAATAAATCTTCCATCATTGTGAAGTAACTAATGGCTTGAATTTCTGAAATGGTTTGAGCACAAAAATGCCACATATCTAACAATATATAACAATCTGCTTTGCCATATTTCCAATTTGTATCTGTGGACATAATGAGTTTAGCTGCCATTGCTATCTCAACTAAAATGAAATCCAACTTTTTGATGTTCACCCATTAATAAGGACTGGTTTAAAGGACAATTTCCTTGAAAGTGGATGCTTTCCCACTGTGCCAAGCTACTCAGCTATCTAATTTTCTTGCTAAGTGAATTCCTTGGATGTTATCTTAGGAATGTTAGAGTATATCATGTTGTACAGAAAGTGAATTCTGCCAAATATAGCATGACCCTGCCCTAGGAGACTACATTCTAAACACAATTCACATTCTAAACACTTCAGACACTTCACAGCACAGCTCAAGTAAATATGGCTTCAGTTATATACAAGTCAAAAATAATTTCTTTTTTCACCTTCAACCTATGTAGGGCATCAGATATGCTATTTGTTTTTTCAGTAGACAGAGGAAAAGAAAGTGACAAGGAATGTAAAACATAAATGTCATTATTATTTTTCTATATTCAAAAATATCTCTGTATTCTCAAACAGGGATAAGGAGAATCCTTTGCTAGACTTCTGTTAAAACATCTCTCCTCAATCTCTGAAGATTTTGAATGATGAGCATCTGCTTAATTCATTAATTTATCAGTTTAAGTACTGAATAGACCAAAAGAATTTTACTTAAGAAGTTAACTTCACATTTTCATGAAAGCCATTTTCTTATTTCCTCTTTGTTACTCTGAACTTCTTAAAATCCACAGACACAAAAACCTTTTCTTTCATGTGGTGAAATATAGCGAAGCAGACCACTCTGCATTTTGGTTTTAACTACTGAAAGAAAAAAGGAAAGAAATTTTAAATACTGTCATTGGCTTGCTAAGTAGTGACAACCTCTAAGAAAATGAATCATAGAAACATAGAATCATGCAATAACCTGTGTTGGAAGGGACCTTAAATATTACCTGCTTCCAGCTTCTCTGTGATGGGCAAGGACACCTTCCACCAGACCAGGTTGCTCAGAGCCCCATCCAACCTTGCCCTGAACACTGCCAGGAATGGGGTATTCACAGATTCCTTGGGTAACCTGTGCCATGGCATGCCTTACCATGCTCACAGTAAAGAATTTCTTCCTAAAATCTACATGTAAAATATAAACCTGCCCTTTTACAGTCTGAAGCCATCCCCCCTTGTCCTATCACTGCATGACATTGCCAGAAGTCTTTGTCCAGTTTTCCTGTAGGGACTCTTTAGGTAGTGCTCTAATGTCTCCCTTAAGCCTTCTCTTATCCGGCTGAACAACTGCAACTCTCTAAGCCTGTCTTCTGAGGAGAGCTGCTCCAGCCCCTGAATCATCTTCCTGGCCCTCTGGTTAACAGGTTGAAGTCTTTCTTATGTAGGGGACCCCAGAGCTGATGCAGCCCTGCAGGTGGGCTCTCAGCAGAGCAGAGCAGAGGGGCAGAATCCCCTCCCTGGCCCTGCTGCCCACGCTGCTTTGGATGCAGCCCAGGGCACGTTTGGCTTTCTGGGCTGGGAGTGTCCAGCCGCTCAGCCATGAGCACTCCAAGTTCTTCTTGGCAGGACTGCTCTCCATTAATTCCCCTTCCAGCCTGAGTTTGTGCTTGGGATTGCCCTGACATGACGATATGCCAAGACAGAAATGCATCTTAAATACTTGCCCATTTTACTACTGAATTATGTCAACAAGGAATGTAAGAAAACCCATTCACCTCTACCCCGTAGATAACTGTTACTTTTGAAGTGATAAAAATCAAATTAAAGAACCAACCCCCCAAAATCTTAGCTTGTAAGTTCTGATATATTCCTGTTGGCATTTTTTTTCCAAACACTCCATATACACTGGGACAGGAGATGGAGAGTGAAGGAATATTTATTTGTAATGCAAATCAGCCTAGTCAAAGGCATTGCAAATACTAGGTGTGGGTTTTCTAATTTTGTTATGACTCAGCTGTGTGACAGAAATGGGCCTGTGTTCTGGTGCTGTAAACCTTTCCAGAAAAAAGGTTAAAAAACATTTCACAAAGAACATACATGGCAACTTTTTATGTTTTCTATGCTGCTCTCTGAGTTCACATAGTAAACTTTACCTCTTTCATTTTGCATATTAATGTGAATAAAATATTGCTTGTGATAGAGGTCATTATTTTAAAATTTGCTGCTTAAAAAACTGTATTTACATAGTACTGTATGATATGCTTCTTCTTTTAAAAGAACTTACTACATATGTCATCAAAATGAATGACATGCAATTTCAAACCAAAAAGTTGTTTCCATTTATGAGAACGGTACCACATTTGAATTGCAGAATATCATGTTGATCAATATTTTCAGAGTATATAATTTTATTTTCAATCTATGAATATTCTGCACCTGTAAGATTTGATGTCTACAGTCCAGACCCTCTTTTTATCCTCTTTGCCTCTACTACCTTAGATATTAAAAGAAAAAAAAAAGCTAAATGCTGCTAAAAATAAAATGAAATATTATGAAATGCTTTTCATAAAAATAAAAATGTCATTAAAATTGCCTTCTAATGAATTCTGCAGGACAAATGGCTGTCCTTTACTTATCAGTAATTATTACTTATCAATATTTCATTTTTTGCTTTAAGAATGGGAAGACACCATCATAGAACTTTTCAACTGGGAGCTGTGGTAGTAGTAAAATAGAAAAAACTACAGCCTTCGAATAAATAGGGCTTACACAACCTACCTCAGGTAGGACGTTTTTTTGATAGAAATGTGGGAGTAGTGGCCAATACCCCAGAGGGCTGTGCTGTCCTTCAGAAGAGCCTCAAGGTGGAGAGAGGGGCAAAGAAGAACTGTCTGAAATTCAACAAAGGCAAATGCAGGCTCCTGCACTTGCTCTGCTTGGTGTTGCCAATCGAAATTGGGAAAATGCTAGCTTAGCCAGTCTGGCTCTTGATTTTATCCTTCACTATGAATAAACTTGGAACTGACCTGTTTAAAGGACTGGAGCCATGCCTAATGTACGTCTTCATGAGAAGTGAAACTTTTAAGGGATCAAAGAGAATAAGTGTGAGTAACTTAATTGCACAAAGTGTAGAACAAAAAGTAACAGATGACTTTGTAAGATAACCAACAAATATGTAACAATTTCCACACATCAAAAGTGGAACCTTGGCATGGAACAGAACAAGGCAAACTTTCCACCCATTCCTGTGAGAATAACCTATCACTGGAATACTTTACCAGGAGCTGAAATTAATTTACTATTATAGTGACTCTCATTTTATTTTTAATTGGAGCATAGCTTTCAGAAAAACAGACAACTGGAATGAAAGGAATTCCTATGGTCTGTATTGTACAGGAAATTAGACCAGAAATTTACAGCAACATCTCTCCAGTCCTTATGCTAATTTATAATGCACTTTTGTGCCAGGAAATCTTGGGGCTTATTGACATGGTATAACAAAACAATAGCTGTCAACTTTTGAGAGACTTCTAAGAAGTGTTATCTCTTGAAATTCAGAGTAATGTGTGTTACATTCCATTTATTTAATTTGATTTGTTGCTAGCAGGAACATGGAGCAGAAGCCAGCTGAGCAGGGAAATTACATGCATATATCCAGCATCAAAGCATGGTGGTAACAACACCAATGTTATGGGTTCAGTGCCTGTACAGGTCATTCACTTAAGAATTGGACTCAGTGATCCTGGTGAGTCCCTTCCAACTCACAGTATTTCAGGATTCTGTGAAAAGGAAAAGGAAATAAACATCAATTTAACAGATGACAACTAGGAATCAAATACTAACTCATACAATACCAAGTTTTACTTACTTTTAGAGTTCCTACTCCACTTTCCAGCTCACTATTTGTCCCTTTTCCATTTGAGCTTCCTATGGCTTTATATTTTGATTGCTCAACTGCTTTCTGATCCCTTATCCCAAATAGGGTTTTTGCACAAAAATGCGGTAACGTACCCTGTGTTCAAAGGGGTTATAATTGAAAAATCCCTTAGTTCCTCTGCTGTGACTTGGGGGGGGTGGCTACAAGAAAATAACAAATCTTTTCACTCTAGTCTTTCTAATACTAATAAATTTTATTTTTCTACTGGTAAAACAGAAAGAAGCTTTTAACTTTCACAGTTTTCTTTTTGTAACACCACAGCATCTGTAGCCCTGAACTACCTTGCTTCTGCTCATCAGACAAAAATTGTCCCTTTAAGCAGAAGGAAAAGAAATGAAAGAAAGCAAGGGAAAAACCTAGTGTTTTGACAAATCTCCTGTCAAGTCTCTTTAAGATTGACAAACTCAGTGCTAGATATTCCTAGTTTTGCTGTGCTCTTAACTAACACCGGCCCCATGATGTCACAGCTCACAGCTATGGAGAAGGTCAGGACTCCAAATACCAAAAAGACCTTTCAGATATCTGCTCAAAAACTCACTGAAGCTGTAGATCTCCTATGGGCCTGTTTTTCGCACTGTCTACCTCCAAGACTGCATCTTCCCACACTGCCCCAAGGACTGTGCACTCTCTGTGGCGAGGTCTCTGAGCCCTGTAGAGGTCACAGAGCTACAGAATGGTTAAGGTTGGAAGAGACCTGTGGAGGCAACCCAGAGTAAGGACACTTGCCTCTATTTTCTTTTATTCCATTAGCCATCAACAGCTTATCCCATAAATGTAGGGTTGGGAAGGGAGTTTGTCTTTTTTTGGGTTTTTGTTTGGGTTTGTTGGTTTGTTGTTGGTTTTAGATTTGTTTTTTGGTTTTTTTGGTTGGGTTTTTCTCTTTTTTTTTTTTTTTTTTCCAGAGCATAGTTTGAACTCACGGTAGTGCAAATGGTTTGAGCGCATAACTGAAGTGCTGAAGTATCTCAGACATTGGTGGGCCAGTACAAGTGCTTATGTGGAATTCTGACAGGGTAGCTGGCCTCTAGCACATGTGGCAGAGGGCTTGCAAGCTGATCAGGGTGTTTCCACTGCAACAATGTGGATGAATAAGTAGTGTGAGTGTGAAGTTTGTATCTGTTCTCTTCCACTAATAATGCCATAACAGTTAATATTACTTGAGCTCCCCTCCCAGAGCAGTTTTGACAATGCACACAATTCTTTCTTTGGACACAGATTTCTGGTTTAAAAGAGTGCTTGTCAATTTCCAAGAAATTTCACACAAGGTATCTTAGGCAATGTATTCAAAAACTTGCAAATTATAAAAAATTCTCTAAGACATTAAAAATTTCAGATTTGCTTAATTTTTTTCTTTAATAACTATGAGACAGAAGAATAAAAGAAGAAATAGCAGCAGCATAAACTCATACAAAAACAGAGCAGGAGAGAAACCTACCAGCCATAAAACAGATGATTACCCTGTTTTTTACTGTAGTGCCTATCACTAATTCTCAGCTTCAGAAACTTCTGTGTAAATTAATACTGAGTCTCTTCAGAACTATATATTTGCCACTCAGATATACTTATGTTCCAAGACAGACAAGAAAATTGAGAGAGGAATTCAGAGGAACAGACCTGTTTATTTAAGAAACAAAATAACCAATTGAAAAAAATCCCCACCAAAACTATTTTAATTCCCAAATAAAAATTAATTTTCTTCCAAATTTCTAGTATAAGGCTAGAACTTTTGTTTTGCCAAACCTGTTCAAAGTAGTGTATTACACAGACAAAATCTGACCAGAAGCCAGTTCCTGAAAGCCTGTGTTATTACAGCTTTTCACATCCTCTTTCAAGGCCAGGTTGGATGGGGCACTGGGCAACCTGCTACAGTGGGTGGCATGTAGGCCACTCCATGACAAGGGGGGCAGAACTAGATGCTAAACTTTAAGGCAGCTTCCAACCCAAACCATTATGTGATACTGTGGTTTTACGATGTGATCTTTTTCCTCTTTGATGTGAATTGCCTATCTTTAGTTCATTCTGTTCCTTCAATTAAATTTGTTGTACACTCTAGTCTAGAGGCAAATTAGACCCAAACTTTTCCCAACAGTTTTTAAATTTATAATTTGAAAACTGTGAAATATCCTCTTTAATGTCACACTAATTTAATGTAGTGTGTATAACATACTATTTCTTTTTTCTTCTAAGAAATATAGTTTTTCATGGTACAAGAATTGAAAAAAATTAATTTTTCAGGATTTCATCACTGTATCTTGCATCCAGATAGAGTGTATTGTATACCAGTGCAAATTATCAGTAAAGGTGTTAAGAAACAAGAGACAGAAAGGAAGCCCTTTTGTTTAAAAGATACAAAATTTTGTTGAAGGTTCTTTTTGCTGTGATGAGCTGCTGCCTCAGCTCTGCAGATTTTTTCCTTACAGGTCTACCACACATTCTCCTCAAAGCCAGTATTCACCAGTGAGTGCTACCATTACAATTTGATGAAGCACAGTGAATAAAGTTTGCACACCAAATTCCATCTTTCCTTAACTTACTCTATTCTTGCTGACCTATAGATGATGGGATAAATACTGCTGTTAATGTCAAATCCATATTTTTTGCAAGCAAACAGAGCCTTTGTAGGCTCTACTTGACAGCTACTGACAGGTTTGGCAAAACACCTACTCAGAGCAGACCAGCCCTTGCAAATAGATGACACCATGATCACCACTAGAGTAGAGGGATTTCCTTGCTGTGTTGGCAGTGGGGCCTCTAGGCAGCAAGCAGGCATGTCTCCATGCCTCTGAATTAATCTCCCAGTCAAACAAGATCTGGAAATGGCTTGCAAAAAAAAACCCCAAACAAACAACCACCACTGACAACAGCCATACAAAAATAAACAACCAAAAATCCACACAAAGACACCCCATCATAAACAAAACCCAAAGCAAACAAAACAAAACAAAACAAAAAAACAAACCTAAAAAACCAAAAACCAAAACAAAACCTCCCACAAAATGCAAAGAGAAATCCAGTATGAGAGTTGCACTTTTTGCCCTGCAAAATGCTCTGCATCCTTCCAAGAAAGATGCTCAGATTTGCTGACCAGCATCGATATAATGGCCTTTAGAGTCTCTTCACACATTGCAAGAATATCTAAATCAAATTCATTAAAAGAATAATATACGTTATGTTTTAATACACATACAGGAATTGAAAACAGGAGTGTAAAAATGGAACCTTGGCATCTGATAAGAAATCGACTAACACTAAAAACACTTCTTCATTGTGGAAAATTCACTTCAAACAATAATTTTGTTGACAGATCATAAATCCATAAAATGTGTCACAGGCTCTAGTACTAAGGAAAGAACAGGTCCAAAAGAGCTTTCCAGCTGGTTCTCTTTCTGAAGTGGCCTTTTCATATTTAACATGACATCAGATGCTGATAAAAATGATTTTGGCTGGGTTGCTACTAATTGGTCTTTTCATATGCAATTAATTTCTTTGTTTCTTGTTCACTAAGGGATTTAATTGCTGCAAAATAGAAATTTGCCAATTTTCCTTTAGAGAAATGCCTGTTAAACTTTCCATTAAAATAAAATTATCAGATCTTCCATTGCAAGGAGTTATTCACATATTATTGTAAATGTCTGTATAATAGCATGTTTCTCTTCTAAGAATAAAGATTTTTCAACTGTACACATTCACTTATTTCTACTTTAAAACCAAAGTATGCAAACAAGACTGTACAAGAAAACCTAATGACCTGGAAAAAGTTGTCAGCGATAGCAGTCACATGGGTTTCACACAGAGAGCATGTGTTTCATACAGCCAATTGTGTGCAGGTATCCAAACACTCCAGCTGCAACACACATTTTCAAGTATCCTTCTCTCAGGACTGAGTCAACCTCTGGCTTTTCATGACAAATCTAAAACCACAGACTTTTGTATTTTGTTGCTTTTAATTTTGTTTTCTTGGAGTCTTTGATGAATCAATAATTTTAAAATTATATTTTTTTCTTGCCTTCTGATTGAGATTTTTTTTTTCCTTATTCTGCTGATGAAGGTCTCTGAGAGATGTACTCTGGTTGATTTTGTTGTGACAACTAGAGATGTGAATTTGCCAGATTGAACCCAAGCAACAGAGCCAGGGGCATATGCTTCCATTCAGATTCTGATGCAGAAGCATCAAGTCTGATAGAGAAGTTGGGTGAAAAAATATAATCAGTCACTGTACAGTGACTTTATTTTAGTCTCTACAGCAAAGTGTTGACACTTTAAATCTCCTCAAGCACAGCTCAGAGAATAACTGGACTGTGTTCCATCTTCTGCACCCTTAGGAGACTCATTTTTCAAGCTTCCGTTTGCCAATAAATAATGCTTTTGCAGCCACGAAGGCAGCAACGCAATTATTCACTTACTACAAAGGAAGGAACATGGGGAAGAGAAGAGATATTTGGTCTGCAGTACATTGAAGTTTATTCTGAAAAGCCAGAAAATATTCACCGCTTGGACATATCCTTCTAGTGTGAACTCTTATATGCAATCCTTCACTTCCAAGCATAGCACCAAGTCTGGAATCCTCATTTACAAGCTCTGCATCATTAATGATTTTTCCCATCATTACTGTCCTCCCTTTTCATTATCAGATAACATCTTCCCTATATGTACTATTTACGTCACTAATAATTATAACATGGCAAAGTAAAAGGAGAACAATTTGCAATAAATCCACTGCTGGCTGAAGGGCTTCCTCCCAATCATTCCTAATGCACTAAACCCAAGCCTTGGTACTATGTGCTGTGTACTTGAGTAACTTTGTGTGTGATGTTAAATGCTACATAGAAGCAGCAACTACAA